GAATCAGCTCCTTTGAAGCAAATGGCTACTATACGGCACAAACAAGCCTTGTGTGGGCGTCCCTGCCCTTTCCTTTCTGCTTTTGGAAAGGAGGTGGTTTCATCTGTGTCAAACCGTCACCACCAGCATCACCATGACAGGAGCCCCTGCTCCAAACAGCCTTTTCAGAAGACTCGATGCTGTTTTGGTGATTAGAGTGCAGGAAGTGGCTGTGAGCAGCAGGGGCTTGTGGAGGCACCATGCAGGCCAACACAAGGGGCAAAGGAAACATGGAACATTTGCCTTCTCCCCTATTATGGTGCCTGGTGCAAACGCAAGGAGACGGGGTCTGCTCACTTTCCCGTCAAAGGTGGCTGAGTAAGCAGAGCGTTACTGAACAGAAACACCTGTAAGAGCCACCTTCTCCCTTTGATTTTAACCCACACCTGGGCATCAGCCTGCTACAGGGGCCCACATCGGTCCCTCCAGTGAAGACGGTCTTTCATTCCACGGTTGACTAAAGGGAACTCTAAGTCAGCCGACCTTCCTAATGCATCTAGACCTAGCGGAGGGTCAGAAGCGAACTTGTGCACAGGAGACATGAGTGACGACAGATCGAGGGATGAAAACCACACACCCCACCGTCACACGGGAGCCCGTCAAGCACCCAGACTTGGACCCGGGGGCCAACCCTCGCTCTGGGCCTGGGCCAGCTTTCCCCGGAGCTCCAGATGTGGCACCGGTGGCATCTCCTTCCGGAACCCTCTGCAACAGCCTGAGAGTGTTCAGCCCCTCTTTCTGGGTGTCCTTTGGGCCCCTGAGCAAGCCTCTGTTATACCCCTCCCTGGTTTTAACATGAGCAGTGGTCCAATGAGTCTCTGGGTGGCACAAACGTTTTGCACATAACTGTTCACCTAAAGCTTAGTGACGTGAACCGTTCGGTGGTGCTGGAAGCCTGTAACGGTTATTGCTGAGAAAACTCTGGGGGACAGAATTCCGAAACGCACATCGCCACCAGACAGAATCTGCTCCGTGGCAATGGGTTGGGAAGTTTTTTTTGGTTAATTGTCAAATAGCTCGTGGGTCTGACTCTGCATGCCAGCCTAGGGCCAGGCCTGCAGCAGGCGTCAGGAACTTCTCAAATGATGGAGGGGTGGCTGGTCACCGGAGTGGCCCACAGCCTAGAAAGCCTGGATCTATGGGGATCCCCATTTAAGGGGCATCGGGTGTTGAATGCTCTAGAAGGCTTCGCCTACAGCAGCGAGAGTCTTGTAAGCTGGACCTACGGTACCTCTGGGCCCTGGCTGGGCAAGGGATCCCACTGAGAGCAGACAAGCCGCTGGGAGGAGGGACTGAGGCACCGCCAGGGTCATGCGCCGGGGACGGGCTGCGGGGTGGGGCCTCTGTCCCCGGAGCCCCGGGCTTCCCTGAGGATGGGAGCGTCTCCAAGAATCCCCGGTGTGTGAGGGCCAGGGCCCAGAGGAAGCAGTGTCTGTCCAGCAGGAAAACCCAACTCTGAAACGGTCCCCACTCAGTGACCCGAATGCCACCTCCCCTCCTGCCTCCGAGCCTTCTCCCCGTCCAGTGCTGCCCTTTGCACCTCGCAGGGTTGGTTGTTCTAAGGAGTGGGACCTCCCTGGTGTACGTTCACCCCACAGGCCTGTCTGTGCTTTGACTGAAAGTTGAGCCATGGGCTGAGTTCAGTTCTAGGCCTGAAGGGTGACTAGGGGCCATGGTTGGGGCGTTCCACCGGTCTCTATCAGACCAGTGAGCCTGGTCTTTTTTATAATCTTGAGTTTTTTTCACATTTATCTCCTAGTCTATCCAGGACCTCCTACTGTGTCTCGTTCCGAGTTCACTCATTTTTAATGGTTATCACCTGCCTTCCAGGCTTATTACCTGACCCTGCTCTAATGTGCTTTACCAAACATGACAAACTGAACTATGTTCCCCAAAAGACACGTGGGAGCCCTCACTCTGTCCCTGTGGATGGGGGAGCCCTCACCTCCGTCCCTGTAGATGGGGGAACCCTCACCTCCGTCCCTGTGGGTAGGGGAGCCCTCACCTCCGTCCCTGTGGATGGGGGAGCCCTCTCCCCCAGAAGGGGTGGGGGCATCAGGTCTAGAACCTTCAAACTCTCGACTGCTGGTAAGGGGCCAGCCACTGAGCAGGTTCCGCCTCTGAGACCCGGCACGTGCGCTGCTCCTGACGCGAGGCTACACTGTTCATCCAACCCTGCCCCTTGGAAAGCACATTGGCACAGCAATGCCCAGGCCCCTGCCCCGAGATGCTGACTGAGTGGATTTGAGGTGGGGTCTGACGCTGGTGTGTACTGAACTCTCCTAGCACTCTCTGAAGATGCAGACATGGTCCCCTCTCTGTAAGAGAGACGGCTAGTTGGGACCAAGGAACACAGGCCCAGCTAGGTCTTTGTTTAGGAAAACTGGGGAAGACGTAAACCCCTGACATTAAACACCAAACTGCACCCACACATACAAGGCCAAGTTCACTCATGAATGATGCACAAAACCTTAACCAAAAATAACACTAAATAAGATTCAACAAAATCAACCTCATGACTACACAGTGCTCGTCAGGAACATCGGACGTGGGAACATTCCAACACTGACGTAAATCATCGCACTAACAGACGACAGGGGAACATCTACCCAAAGAACTCAGGAGACACAAAAATGTAATTCCGTAAAATTGATCCCAGTTATGATTTTAAAAATCCGAAAACAACCCCAAGCAAAGTCAGGATTAGGAAGGAACTGTCAACCCACTACAGGCTGGCTACTAAGAGAAAGGTCTCCCATAAATGTTGTAAATGTCATCCTTGACGACAAAGCCCTCAAAGGAGTTCTTTAAAGTCAGGAACAAAAGAGAGGTCCTCGGTGCCTGCTCCAGTTCTCTATTCTACGAGAAGTTCTCACTAAGATGATAAAGTGAACCAACGGAAGGAAGAAACAGACACGGGACAGACATTTCAAAAAAGATTCAAATAAATGCAAAGAATCCAAACTGTCACTACGAACAGAAGGGTGAGTTCTTTCCAGAAAGCCACAGTAGGACTAAGAGGAGTTCCAGGCCATGTGCTGCCGCCCTGGGTGCGAAGCCGGCGGCCAGAGGGCCTGGGGCAATCCTGCCTCCACAGGTTGTGTGGGAACCCCGCACATGGGACTCACCTCTGCACGCTCACCTGGAAATGAGCAACAGCAGCAGGCCGGCCGGAGAACTCACCGTGAAGACAAACGACTTAACTACTTGTAAAAGCACTAAGAATGGGGTAAAGTTGACTAAACTCGGAAACGATATCAAAAAGCAACTGTGTTTCCATATACCAGTTACCCTGTCAGAAAATGTGACAAAAACAAACACGGCACCAGAGAAGCTGAGGCGCTGGCTGCCACCACTGCTGTTCAGACGTCCGTCTGTGGAACAATCCTGATCCAAAGGGGGGCGAACAGAAGATGATTTCAAATTCTCCACAGAACCCAGAACCTCCGGAGCCATGGAGGCCCGACAGACGCTGAAGCTCTTACCCCTGAAATCACCTTTAAACCTTAACCCTCAAGCAAAGCTTTCTTGGGGTGTCGGCTTTGAACTAGAGTACAGTTCGGCCCAGTTATAAAGTAGGTCTGCCTTGAGCTGTTTGCTCTCTCAAAGGTTTATCTGTGGATCAAACTGACAACCTCATCTCGAAAGGCTGAGAAAACCCTGTGGGGGTTTGGGGCAATGGGGCCACTTGGAAAGGACAGCGAAAACGGGTGCACAACTTGAACAGTGTCAGCAATGTGTGTGTGGGATTTGTTGAGATGGTGTACCCTTTTTCCCCAAAAAATAAACTTTACAGTGCTATGCCTGTGTACCCTAATGAATCCTCCCGACAGGCCGGCAGAGAGGACTCCCGAGTCCATTCCACAGGCGAGGACGCTGGGGCTCAAAGGCGTTAGGAACCGCGCACAGGACCACAGGGAGACAAAGGGGAGCCAGGAGGTCGATCCAGGCAGGCCCCTGCTCTTCCTGCCATCCCTCTGTGTCCACGGACTGCCCGCCCCTTCCCTGCCTCAGAGCACGAGGAATACAGGAGTGTGAGCGCAGAGCTCCCGCCAAGAAGAAAAGGCCTGGCAAAAGCAGAGTTAAACGAATGAAAAGACCTATCACCTGCCCAGAGAGACAGGCTCCTCATTGTAAGATACCAGCAAGGGTAGCCAAGAAAATCCTGAAAACACTGAAGCAACGTATGTATGTGTGTACTGGGGCGGGAGAGTGGAAATAACTCGTTAGTAATTTAATGTCTACTTGGTATACACAGAGCACATACTAAAGCCTCGATAATCAAAACTGTATGGGAGTAGCACGTGAGTAGCCTGACTAACAGACCAGCAGGAAGGTTAGCAGCAGACCCAAAGCACACAGCTGGTGACCAGAGGTTCAAACCTCCTCAGTGGCTCCAGGGGGAAAGACCTGGTGATTTGGTCCTCCAACCGCAAGTAGCTAATCCTTCCAACAACGTGGGTGAGCTGGAAACGGGTCCCCTCCGACAGCCTCCAGAAAGGGGCGCAGCTCCACCGGCCCTTGATCTCAGCCTGTGGGAGCCCGGCTGGGTTCCAAACCCTGTGCTGCCACGCCCTCTCCCGGCTAGTTCCCCTCGTCCTAATGCTGAAAACCGAAACAAAGCTCAAACCCGCTGCCTTCGCATCGATGCCGACCCAAGGCCCCTCATGTACAACTGTGCTCCACGGCGTGTTCCCGGCTGCGACCTCGATGGAGGCACATTGGCAGGCCTCTCTCCTGTGGTGATGCTGGTGTTCCAAGGGGCAGCCTTTAGGTTGGCGGCGGAGCGCTTCACCATCTGCGCCAGCAGGGACCTTCCCTCCAAACCCTGCGACCCCCGACCCCACCCTCAGTGGCTGCAACCACTGAGTAATCACTCAGCGCATCGCCCAGCTGACCCCAGTCCCGGTCCACGTGCTGTGGTCGGGAAACCCCACTCCCCGATTCAGCAGGCCATGTACCTGTCCCTCCACGATCCACCTGGAGATGGAAGTCTTCCCGTCGTAGCCGGGTCGGAACTGGAGCGTGGCCGAGCGCGGACTGATGTTGGAAATGACCAGGTTGGATGGGGCGCCAGGGAGCTCTAGAGAGATATGGGAGGAGACGCAGAGACTGAGACCTGCTCCCAACCTAGGAATGTCTCCAGCACGTGCCAGTCAACAGTTCAAAATGCCCCAACATGACGGGGACTTGTTTGCAAAACCACGGCAACTGGAAGGCAGAGAGCGACCCCCAGAACCGTCTTCACAGCATGGTTTGTACTTTAGTGGGGTCACCCCAGCTCTGCGCCTCTGCAGGGACATCAGGGGACAGGGCACTGATGTGACCTCACACACGTCTCATTCGTCTGTACATGCTGGTGTTGTGGGGTGCCACTGAGTTGACTCCAGCTCACAGGAGAACCGCCCCAGCGGGTTTCCTAAGCTGGTACCGTTACGGGATCGGGTGGGCGGGTCTTCCCTCCCATGGAGCCGCAGGGTGGGTCTGAACCTCCACCGCCTGGTTTGCAGCTAAGGACTTAATCCCTCTGCCATCAGGACTCCTTAGCTCTGTCCAGAGAAACCTGTTGTGGTCGAGTCGGTTCCAACTTACAGCGACCCCACAGGAGAGGAGAGCTGACCCACAGGGCTTCCAAGTCAGTGAATCTTTACAGGATTGGACAAGGAGTAAAGAAGACAGAAGAACTGAGGCATGTGCACTGCGGTGCTGGCAACGAACGCCGACTGCACCGTGGGCTGCCGGACGACGGACACACCCGTGTTGGAGGAAACACGGGCAGCGTGCTCCTCGGCACGGAGGGGCGGGCCCTTGCTTTCTGTACTTCGGACATGTTTTCAGCGGGACCAGTCTCGGGAGAAGGACGTCCTGCTTGGGAAAGCAGAGGGGCAGTGAAAAAGAGGGCGATCCCCAACGAGGTGGGCACAGGGGCCGCGAGGGTGGGCAGTGCCCAGGGTCGGCACAGGTGGTGGGCGTGTGGGCAGTGCCCGGGGTCGGCACGGGCGGTGGACACGTGGGCAGTGCCCGGGGTCGGCATGGGCAGTGGACAGGTGGACCTGCCCGGGGATGGCACATCTGGTGGACATGTGGGCAGTGCCCGGGGACGGCATGTTTGGTGGACAAGGGTGGACAAATGGACATGCCCGGGTATGGCACGTTTGGTGGACACAGGTGGACCTGTGGACATGCCTGGGTATAGCATGTTTGTGGACATGGGTGGACATGTGGACATGTCCGGGTATGGCACATTTGGTGGACATGGGTAGACACGTGGACATGCCCAGGTATGGCATGTTTGGTGGACACATGGACATGCCCTGGAATAGCATGTTTGGTGGACACGGGTGGACACATGGACATGCCCGGGAATGGCATGTTTGGTGGACACGGGTGGACACGTGGATGCCCTGGCATGGCTTCTGGACGGTGTGATGGGGTAGGTGCTCAGTCCTGAGCCCCTCAGCTTCCTGGGTCTGGTTTCCCAGACAACCAGACGCAGGTGAAAGAGCAGAATCCCTCCCACTCTCTGCGCTCAGTTGCTCTGGCAACTCGACGAGGAGGCACCAAACCACAGCAAAGTGACAGACCACCCAGACGGAAGGTGGCCAAAGGCTTCGTCATGGGGCTGCCTGGGGCTGCCGCCTCCTCGGGGAATAGAGGCCCCGGGCAGGCAGTCCCCCGACAGGCTCCCCACTCTGAAGAGAAGCACCGAGGGTTCACAGGTTCCTTCCAGCATCGTGTAGTATCGTCACTAGAATTATTGAAACGGCATAAAATGACGGAAAACCCCCAAACCAACCCCACTGCCACCCAGTCGCTTCTGCCCCACAGCGTCCCTCGAGGAGGGAGAAGTGCCCCAAAGGGCGCCCAAGGCCGCAATCTGTGTGGAAGCAGTTTGCCTCCTCTTTCCCTGCAGGGCAGCTGGTGGGTTTCAACCACCACCGTTTTAGTCGGCACCCGAGCACTTTAACCACTGCACCACCAGGCTCCTTTAGAAACATGGCCCAGTGTCACTCAAGCAGCAGAAGTGTGTCCAGGTGGCAGCTCGGTTTCCCTCTTTGCCATTTACGACGAGGTCTCGCCCAGGGACCATGACCACCCTGGTCCTCCATTCAGTATCTGCCAGGGTCTCCAGGAACCCTGGCCCTTTCCCGTCACGTAGAGTTTGAAGCAGAAAACGCTTGCCTCGAAGGCCAAGGTGCTCCTTCCTTCCTCGTCAGCCCTTTGGGGTCTTCACCCAGCCGTCCTGTCCTAAGGGGTGGAGCTGTCAGCCCCAGGACGCAGCCCCCAACCCGGAAGCGCCCCGTGGCTCTGCTTCCAGCCAACAGCGCCGGGAGCGGGTCGGGTCGGGCTTCAGCGCCAGGTGACGGGTTGGGAACTGATTGGCCGGAAAGTGATGGGCCGGGAAGTGAAGGCTGACAGGGTTGCCCGCCCCCGGGGCCTCTACGCCCACAGCCCTGGGGGCACATGCAGGCACAATGGGGGTGAGCTAGCCCTTTTTCCTGCCCAGCTAGAGGGCACCCAGCCATCCAGGAAACCCGGCAGCTCGAGCCTGGTGCTTCCAGGGCCACCTGAGTGTCCTGGTGGCCATTCTTCACAGATCACAGTCCGCCACCTTCACCGTCACCACCATTGTCATCACCACAGTTACCAAAGAGTGAACTCTACTTCAAACACGTGCCATGGGGACCAGCTTGAACTACTTGAAATACATGCTGTTCACGGACACTAGGAGCCCTGGTGGTGCAGTGGGCAGAGTGCGCAACTGCTGACCCAAACAGGTTGGCGGTTCTAACCCACCGGCAGCTTTTGGGAGAGAGATGTGGCAGTCAGCCCCAGTAAAGGGTACAGCCTGGGAAACCGTATGGGGCGGCTCTCCACTGTCCTACAGGGTCACCAAGAGGCAGAAGTGACTTGACGGCAGTGGGTTTCGTGGTGGTTTTCGGTCTTAGGAGCCCTGGTGGCACAGTAGTTAAAGTCTCGACTGCTAGCTGAAAGGTCAGCGGTTCAAACTCACTAGCAGCTCCATGGGGGAAGGCCTGGCAATCTGTTCTCGGACAGATGAGAGCCGGGGAACCCTGTGGGGCAGTTCCATCTACCACGTGGGGCCGCTGTGCGTCAGAATCCACTCCACAGCCCCGAGCAACAACACCTTCCCTCAAAGACCAGCGTAATCGCCGTGGTTTAAACGTCAGAGACTCGCAGCTTTAATCAAAGAATGGAACTGAGGCCACGCTGCCTCCAGCTGGTCCTGAACTGGCAACCCCACAGTATCTCCTTGCATCCATATGTGTGTGTGAATTCCTTAGAAAAACACCGATTGTCGGCATGAACCATGAAATCGTGGAGAATCTTTGTCTGCTGAACTGTGCGTGCTGAGTGTTTAGGGAGATAGTCTGGACCCGGAAGGTGTACCCAGGCCTGCCTGCGCCACTCAGCACCTTCAGCAACCGCCCTTCACGGGCAGACTCTGCCCAGCCATCGGAACGCCCCTCTCCCCATCTCTTTATCTTTCCTTCACACCTGCTCCGCTTTCTCTTATCCAAAACCCAAATGTTCATTGGTTGCACGAGTCAAGTTTTATGTTCCCTGGTCTTCATTTGAATATGAATATTTCCTATTTCTCTGGTAAAAAAGGCTGCATTTTACTTATGGACGGCCCTTGATCTATTGTTTGCGGGAAGGACAGGAAAGAGCCCTGGTGGCACAACAGTTTAGCACTCGGCTGCTAACAGAAATGTTGTTGGTTCAAGCCCACAAGCTGCTCTGCGGGAAAAAGAGGAGGCAGTCTGTATCCAAGAAGATTGACAGCCTTGGAGACCCTGTGGCAGTTCCACTCTGTCCTCTAGGGGCGCTGTGGGTCAGAATGGACTCCACGGCAGTGGGTGTGGCTTGGGCTTTGCTTCTGTGAAGACTGACAGCCCTGGAGACCCTGTGGGCAGTTCCACTCTGTCCTCTAGGGGCGCTGTGGGTCAGAATCCACACAACAGCACCCGGAAGGCAGGAACCTCCATGCCAGTTTGGTGTCTCACAGCTTTGCGATCATGGCTCCGATGAAATCCAGCTCTCTGCAGCTCTCCTGGACCCATTCCCACTCACTCATGTGCTGCTAGAAGCTGCTGGAAACAGTATCAAGCCACCATCAAAACCTTTGCCCTGGTGTCAGTTTCAGCTCTTAGTGACCCTGCATGCTACAGAGTAGAGCCATTCCATAGGGTTTTCCAGGCTCTAATCTTTACAGAAGCTGACTGCCAACCTTTAGGCCAGCAGCTGAGCTCAAACTGTGTGCCAGCCAGTGCCTTCAGGCCGGGATCAAAAGGCCTGGGCAAAGGGTCAAGTTAGGTCACCGTCACCTCCCTCTCAAGGGTCCTGCTGTTGCTGCCGGGTGCCCTCGAGTCGACTCTGACTGGCAGTGCCCCCATGTGACAGAGAACTGCCCCCCGGGGTTTCCCAGGCCGTGACCTTTATGGTAGCAGACTGCCAGGTCTTTTTCCTGTGGAGCCCCTTGGGTAGGTCTGAACCATCGACCCTTTGGTTCACAGCCCAGCACTTAACTGCTGTGCCATGGAGCTCTTTTTGGTTCTTAGCAGGAAGTTAACACATTCTCTTCAAAGCACACAGTGCTAGGACTTGGGGTGTCAGGAATCTCGTATGACCTGCACTAGCAAGACAAGCCCCTGTGAGTTTACTGACCTGGGGGGACGCCGGAGGAGATGGTGGATGAGGTGGCTGGCCCAGTGCCCACTGCAGTGACAGCCACCACTTCGATGGTGTAGGTGGTGAGCGATGACAGTCCTTTGATTTTGTACTCATGGGTCGTGCTGTTCAGGGTGTGTGTGAGGCGGGAGTCATTCTTCCCATACACCTCCCAGGAGATCTGATAGCCTAGAAAATAAGACGGGAAGCACTGGCTGGGGGCTCCAGCGGCCGAGGGTGGAGGCTGGGGGCTCCCGCGGCCCAGGGTGAAGGCTACACACCAGGAGGTCAGCAGAGGCTGAATGCTGGGTCCCTATCTCCGAGAGGTGGAACTGCAGCAGGGAGCCCAGCTTTCTCTGATGAAGGCTTGTTAGAACCCACATCACTCCTGGAATGGCGCCCCGAGTCCCAACCCACCCTCCATGCTCCTGTGGAAAGATGCGGCCTGTCTATACTGTGTCCATGAATGCCAACCACCCCATCTGTCTGTTGTTCCCCTACAACCACCCCATCTGTCTGTCCCTCTTCAACCAACCCATTTGTCTGCCCCCTACAACCACCCCATCTGTCTGCCCCCTACAGCCACCCCATCTGTCTGTCCCTCTTCAACCACCCCACCTGTCT